CATTTATATAATTAGGCTATGCAAATGGGGTTATCTGTTGGTTAATCCTACCTAATAAAAGAGTAATATGCAAATTGACCATCACTCCAACACAGAAGATAGCTCTCCCTATGTGGTCAAAGATGGCTGCCCCCATGTGGACACAAGATTGCCGCCACAAGATGGCCAGCAGGAGAGGGCAGTTGGGAGGGACCAGGCCTGCAAGGGAGGACAGTTGTGGGCTATCTAGCCTTCAGGGGAGGGCAGTTAGGAGTGACCAGGCTAGTAGAGGAGGGAAGTTGGGGGTGACTGGGTCTTCAGCGTAGGGCAGTTGGGAGGGACCAGGCCTGCAAGGGAGGGCAGTTGGCAATCAGGCCAGCAGGAGAGGACAGTTGGGAGGAACCAGGTCTGCAAGGGATGGCAGTTGGGGGCAATCAAGCCTGCAGGGGAGGGCAGTTAGGGGTGACCAGGTTGGCAGAGGAGGGAAGTTGGGGTTAACCGGGCCTGCAGGAAAGAGCAGTTGAGGGGAGGGACTCAGGCCTGTAGGGGAGATCAGTTAGGGGCAAACAGGCTGGCAGGGGAGCATTTAGGCATCAATTAGGCTGGCAGGAGAATGGTTAGGTGTGATCAGGCTGGCAGGAAGAAGTGATTAGGGGTAATCAGGAAGGCAGGCAGGCGAGCAGTTGGGAGCCAGCAGTCCTGGATTGTGAGAGGGATGTCTGACTGCCAGTTTAGGCTGAATCCTACTGGGATTGGGCCTAAATGGGCAGTTGAATATCCCTTGAGGGGTCCCAGATTAGAGAGGGTGCAGGCAGGGCCTCTAGTCTATTATAATTGGTGAAAGTCAATTATATAAAGCCATATTATATAGAAGGTCAGTCCCTTCAATGTAATGGGGTTCTGTACAAATCCCAGAGTATTGCAAACAATGAATTTCATAGTATTTGAAATATTAGTCATTTACTCATTTCCCAGTTGGCACAATGTTGTACGTTTCACAGTGATTTTATTTCAAAATTGTATTTAATAACAGAATGTCTGTAATGCTTTTTCCACACAGTGCACAACAGCATGAGAGAAAACAAATGAAACAGATATAAGAGCTATTGGACAAACTCTAAGAGTACAATTATTTTCCATTTAAAAATAGTTTCTACCAAAAGACCCTGTTCTATTCATGTAACATTTTTGTCAACAATAAAATACATTTTCCAAAATAGTACATACATGTCTCAGAGTTATACAATGAACAATGACATGGGTAAAAATCTGGTTTCCCATACAGTCAACATTAAGGCAAAGATATACTTTAATTCAACTCTGGACATTTCAGTCATCTCTTAGGTACTCCATTAATACTATTTATTTACAGACACACAATAAATTCTTAAGAATATTTCAAAAAATTTTCTGTAAGACATTAAAACTGGTGATGTGAACTATAAGGCTAATAATGCAACTAAAACATTTATGAAGTTATAGTTATATTCACAGATTTCCTAAAGTGCTGAATTGTTTAATGTTAACATGTAGATATGTCTACCTGACTTAGTGTAGGAAATCATATCAGAAATTTTACTGAATGCTGGGCAACTATTTTAGATGTTTCTATTTCATTTCCCACTCAGTGACTATAACTTTTTACTGATATTTTCTTTAATGCTAACCAACTGAATTTGAATTAACTAAAACTTGAAATACATATTTAAGATAAAAAACTTTTGGTTTTAATTTGTTTTCTAAGCACTGAATTCAGATTGTTAAACTAAATTTATTTTTATTGAACTGTTTCACATTTAGTGAAATGGTACTGTAGGACTTTTCTCATATCCAATAGTTATATTTTATCTGGTCAGTGACTTGGACAATAAATAATTTAGGTTTACTTTTCCTTGTTCATTACTTAATAACATGTTTCTGGCTGGAATTATTAGAAGAATTGCCTTAATTCTTTGCTTCACAGGTTGAGACTTTCACTTAACATACAGAAGAATTTTAAATTAAGAACTTTGTATAATGCTTTTTAAACTAGAAGGGAAGTTATAAATAGTAATTTCATTCAATATAAACAGAGACTATGTGAGATGAAATAATTAACCACAGCTGTCAAAGTGAATTTTATTTTCCAATTAAATTTAGTAACAGCATTTGGATATAAAGTAGATGTAATGTTCAGATATATGGTATTTGTTTTAAAATATCAGAATATCTTTACTTAAAGATTAAGAGTTTGCTATGTCACATTATGTTTCATCATTAGTCATCTATAAATAGGGAACTTAAAGACAAATTGAAAAAATAGCCATAGGACAATATCATGTAATCAGAATGGATTGATAATCCATCAGGTTATTAAAAATGAAATACCTGAAATTTTTCAATAAATGTGATACTGCATTATAACTAATGAAGGCAAATAATCTATTAGTAGTTTTTTATTGTAATATTAATGTAATTTAATTTATATTGCAAATATAATGTAATATTATTTCTATAGAAATTAAAATATTTGTAAGTTTGTATACTTTGACATATAATTTTATGTGTTAAATATAAAATGATATGTAGCTCTTGTCATTTAAAACAGTTCGAATGGTTTGACTAATTGAAATTTAAATGCAATTTATCTGAGTTTTAAAATTTTCCAATAATTATACAAAAGCACATAACAATGCTTAAAAATGATTGACTATTTCTTACTAAAACAAGTTAGCTTATAGTTTACACTAGTTTGAATTCTGAGTGATACAGTAAACCATGTAAGTAATTTCACATTTAGTTGACTAGAATTTTAGGGTTCTTAAAAAACTGAAAGTTAATAGATATCTCCAGAATCATGGCCTTTGAATTAAAATGTTGTTGGTGTACCCTAGTTAAGAGAAACCTTGAAAACATCAGAGATCCTAAAATTGGATTATCTACAATGCATACATGAAAGATTTATTCTCTAGAATGGTGAAATCTATGATCACAATTCTATATGAGTCAATAATTCTGATATTTCCAGACTCTCCCTTCACTAGAAACTAAACTTGGAAAAGTGTCATTTTATCTTTTGGTAATATAATCCACAGTAACTTTGTCTCTAGAATTCATTTCTTTCTTGCCTCTGATCACTGTGAGCAGAGAGTTATCATTTTAGCATACAAGAAAGAGGTAGAAGAAATAAATGAGGGAATAAAAACTTGCTTTTCAGAAAAATTAATTACCTGCCTCCTTTTTGTAAACTGTTAGGATTACAATTTACAGAGGTACACTTCTTGACTTAGTAAACAGGCACTGAATTTCATATGCTGTCAAGAGATAGACATGAAATATGGTCCTCTACATTTCTAAAGCAGACATATAGCATATACTCCTTCAGTTTTAGGTACATGCACTCTCACAAACTGAACAATTGGGGCAGGAAGATGACTCTTTTTTAGCTAATACATTATGTCAATAGATTACAGAATTTTCTCTTTAATAAAGCATTTATTAATTCTTTATTTGTCCCAAGCAAAGAGATGAACCCATGTTTTACAGTCTCAGCATTGTGTGACTAATATATGTATATATTTATATATGTATATACATACATTTTAAAATATGACTTTTTAGAAATATATTGATACCCAGTGGTGCCGTGGTACAAAATACTTGAAAAAGATCAGTTATTTGAAAATGCCATATTTGGGGTACTTCTTGTATCCAATACAGTAATATAGAGAAGACAGATTAAGCACAGTCTATAAGTGGCAAACTCAGAATATGCCTGCTCTTTCATGCTGTGATGGAAAAACTTGGAATGGTTAATGAAAAGTGACATGGAAATTTATAAAAAATCAGAAGTAAAAATATTGAATTTTTCTGATGGCCTTATCTATATTCATTCAGGACAGCTCCCAATATGTCCTAGCAAATAATATTTCTCATTTTCTTCCTTAAACAAAGAAAACACTGTTTTACTACCACTGGTAGATTTGTTAGCAGAATATTTGATGTATTGAGTTGATATTTAGATACTGGATAGATATATGCAATTGTTGAGTAAATTAGTGTTATGGAAAAATTCACAGAGGAGGCACTTGACTGGCATTAACTGATCTTTGGTAAAAGCAAAATAAAACAAAATGCTTCATTTAGTTATATTTAAATATTTTTACTTGTTAACACTGAATGTCTCCAGATACATTAACATATCCCTCAGTTAGATAAATGTCATAACTAAACACCTCTGCTTATTTATTTATTTTTTTTTGCTGTTAGCTATTTGAAGTGTCTTGTTAATAGATGATGATAAACTTTCATGTTCAGAGTTGGTAATTGTAATTCTTTTCAACTTATTTGGAGAAAAATGAAGAAATCTATATATCTGGTCACATTATTGGTGGTACAGCCAGATGATATTATTCTGCAAATCTACAAATTAAGTTAACCTAGTTGATAAATTAGTAATGCCCAGTATTTTCCAGTATCATATTTTTCAGTGTTCCTTCAAACTATAGTAAGAATTTGTATCTAACCAAATTTAATTGAAAAATAAAATAAATGTTTGCAAAGTCTAGGGTTTTAATATTTTATATGTCCATTGTCTTTGAACTGAGTCATTTGTTAAGTATTGAAAAATTCATTGACATTATCCAACCAGAAAAAAATGAAGCAAACATAAGGAATTGACTAAATGTTGGCATTTGTCTTATCTTTGGATTGAAATTATGAGTCTGTTCTTTTATACTTTAATCAGAATGCAGGCATCTCTAATGTATTTCTCACAGCAAATCTGAAAGTCTTAAGTGGTAAGATTTGAAAATCATTTTAAGTGGTCTCCAACATTTGAAAGGTATTATAGCTAATAATCTCTGAAAATCGTTTGAAGTGGTCAGTTCACAGATGATATTTTATTTACTATAATATAATAACCAATGAAAAATAGTTGGTAACTCCATAAAAACAATAATAATCTTAAATTTTATGGAATTTGTAAACTTGCTTTTAAGAGGTGTTTAATTAAAGCAAGTTTTTGTTGTATTTTTTTTTTTTTAGACCATACCATTTGGCACATTAGGGTACCGGTACCCTGGTAGGAATGGCCGAAATAAAATAGGTGCTGGTTTTCCAGATACTGCATAAAAATTAGGATACCTTCTCTTAGGAACAAAGTATGGAGCAGGTTGATAAAAGCAAGTTACATTATTTGTATTGGGTAGAATGTTGTGTTCTCCTAGTACTTTTAAAGCCATATAGGTAATCATATTGATTGTCTGTCTTCTTTCATGACGCATGAGGCAAACGGTGCTTTCATCTACAACTCCACGCAAAATCATAAGGTAGTCATACTTGCTTTTTTCTTCACCCGTGAAATGGTTGCGGAGGTATGATTCAATCTTCCTTTGCTGGTCTACTACATCAGGAAAATCAATGAAAAATCTAGAGCACATGTAACGTTCAAGGGTCTTGATTTCTGCTTCACAAACAGGCTTAAAATCTCGAACCAGCAAGTTGCTGTACTTCAGAAGGCCACCACCTCTAATCTCCTCAGGTTTTCTGGTAGATATAAGCTTGCATTGCAAATGCATCATTGCTTCTTGAAAGTTTCCATATAGGCTTTCAGCTACTACAACAGGATATGACTCTTGGGTTAACTTAGCATTTTTGTCATAGAATTCTAACATGTCATCCAAATGAATTTGAAAAGAATCTACACTAAATTCAAACTGCCGTTTGAGTGAATTCACAAATTTTAGCTCTACATTCTTCCCAGTGTTGTTTGAAAGAGAGATGAGACTCCACTGATCGTGCTTATTGCAAACTTTGACCATCTTCTGCACATATGCCTCCTTCATGATATTTAGGGTAATCTTTTCTTTTTTCACACCTTTTGGTAAAAAATCAAGTAGACAACCTAAAACTACATCCTTAACAATATGAAATCCTTGATCAGTTGGTAGATCAACACGAAAAATAACATCCAGATCCTTATAGACGATTCCACTGTGGCTTGCAAGTATGTAACTTGCAATGGAACCATTTAATCTGGTATCTTTAACAATAATTCTTTGCTTTATCAGTTGATTTTTGACAACATTTATGATATGTTTTAGTTTTACCTCCATTGTGGGGAAATGTCCCCTTCCATGAATTGGAATTACTTCATCTAACACTTGATCCAGTATTATAACTTGATCCCAAGTCAGATTACTGAATCCAACTTCAGACATTTTGAAGTCAGTAGGTCAACTAGAAAGCAAGCAAAATATTGAGAAGAAATGTTAGCATTTTAAAAGCAGTGTTATACCCAAAGTGTATGAAAAAGTTAAAAATAGACTTGTCCTCAAAATAACATTAAAACTAGGAAGTAAATGATCAATGTATCTAATTTATAGGGAAATAAAGCTATTTTGATTATGCCAAGATTGTTAGAACCATTACTGCATGCAAACAGGCACTCTCAGGGATTTGTTAGAATTATAATTATTATTATGTAAAATGATGGCCTTCCTCATTATTTATTTATGTAAATATTATGATTGTGTTTGTTTGGTGTTATAAATTTTGTTCATAAGATAATCATAATACATCACTGAGGTTAACTGTCATGAATTTAAAGTGAGATCAAAACAGCATATCTGATGGAATAGCATAATGATGACATTATGTTCAAAAGCAATATATGGCATCTTTAAGCCAAAAGCATTGGAGAATTCATCATATATATTGCACAGAAAATGCAAATTAGAATTAAAAAAATCTTATAAAAAATGATTATGAAAATAAGTGGGATACACACATTATTACCTACTTGAGGCCCGGTGTATGAAATTTGTGCACAGGGGAGGGTGTATCCCTTAGCCCAGCCTGCACCCTTTCCAAACTGGGATCCCTTGAGAGAGGTCTGACTGCCCATTTAGGCCCAATTCCACTGCGGGGGGGGGGGGGGAGGAGAGACACACACACACACGGACTTGAGTTGGGAGGGACCAGTTGTGTGTGTGCAGGAGGCAGCTGATTAATGGATTAACCAACTCACATCCAGGACTGCTGGCTCCCAACCATTCACCTGCCTGCCTGCCTGATTGCCCCTAACCACTTCTGTCTGCCAGCCTGATCACTCCCTAACCACTCTTCTGCTAGCCAGATTGATGCCTACCTGTTCCCCTGCTGGCCAAATGGCCACTAACTGCCCTCCCCTGCAGGCCAGGTCACCCCCAATTGCCCACCCCTGCAGGCATGATCTCCCCCAACTGCCTCCCCTACAGGCCTGTATCCCCCCTTCCCAACTGTCCTCTCCTGCAGGCTCAGTCACTCACAACTGCCATCCCCTGCAGGCCTTGTGCCCCCAATTGCCCTCCTTTGCTGGCCTGGTAACCCCCAATTGTCCTCCTCTGTTGGCCCAGTCACGCCCAACTGCCCTCCCCTGCTTGCCTGATCGCCCACAACTGCCCTCCCCTGCAAGTCATCTTGTGGTGGCCATCTTGTGTCCAAATGGGGGCAAGATCTTTGACCACATGGGGGCAGTTATCTTGTGTGTTGGAGTGATGGTCAATTTGCATATTACTCTTATTAGATAGAATGATAGAATGGAGCTATGAATTTTGGCCCCCACTTTGCTGAGACTAGCTATGCAGAGAAATCTGAGTCCTGCATGGGACTGATTTTGTAACACCTGCTGCTTGGACCTGTGGCATGAGAGTTCTGGTTCCATGCAGAGCTGTGATTTTTCGAACTGCATCCTCCAGGAAGGATCCCATCAGGGAGACAGATTAGTGAGTGCTGGGCTTTGTGACTGCATGGTGGGGAGGTTGACCCAAATTCCCTGTGAATTCAGCCAGGTAACAAAGGAAAGGTAGAACCAGTTGGGCCAGTGTATCTCAGTAGTTGAGTATGACCTATGAACCAGGAGGAGGTCATGGTTTGATTCCCAGTCAGGGCACATGTTTGAGTTGTGGACTCAATTCCTCGTGGGGGTTAAGCAGGAGGCAACTGATCAATAATTCTCTCCCATCACTGATGTTTCTCTCTCTCTCTCTCTCTCTCTCTCTCTCTCTCTCTCTCTCTCTCTCTCTCTCTCTCTCTCTCTCTCTCCCCCTTCCTCTCTGAAATCGATAAAAATGTTTTGTGTTTTTTTAAAGGAGAGGTAAAACCAGCCTCTTCTTTCTGCAGGCTGGGAACACCACCCCCAACAGGAGACTTTTCAGTTCAGCTTTGTGAAGTCCTGGATACCCCTGCTGGTTGCAGTTCTGTGAGAGGTGGGAGAGTGGCTCAGAGAAGACATTCCAAGTGTGAGACCATCAGAGGCTACTATCGGGGACAAGGAGGAAGTGATTAGCTCCATCTTGTGGGCTGGACCTGCAACATTCTCAACTGGAGACATTTTTAAAGGCTGCCAGAGAGACACAGAAAGTTACCTACAAGGGATCTCCTATTAGAATTTCAATTGATTTCTCAACAGAAACACACCAGGCCAGAAGGGAATGGAATGAAATATACAAAGTGATGCAAAGCATCAATAATAACATTAGCTGAAACCGGTTTGGCTCAATGGATAGAGCATAGGCTTGGGGACTGAAGGGTCCCAGGTTCGATTCCGGTCAAGGGCATGTACCTTGGTTGCGGGCATACCCCAGTAGGGGATGTGCAAGAGGCAGCTGATCGATGACTCTCTCTCATCGATGTTTCTAACTATCTCTCTCCCTTCCTCTCTGTACAAAATCAATAAAATATATTTAAAAAATAATAATAACATTAAAGGTAAATGGATTAAATGCACCAATCAAAAGACATAGGATAGCTGAATGGTTAAGAAAATATGACCCATATATTTTCTGTCTGCAAGAGACCCACCTCAGAACAAAGGATTTACACAGAATGAGAGTGAAGGGATGGGAAAACATTTTTCAGGCAAATGGAAATGAGAAAAAAGCTGTGATTGCAATATTATATCTGACAAAATAGACCTCAAAGTAAAGGCCATAACAAGAGATAAGGATGGTCATGACATAATACTAAATGGAGCAATTCAACAAAAAGATATAACTCTGGTAAACATATATGCACCCAATACAGGAGCACCCAAATACATAAAACAATTTCTGGAAGATATCAAGAGAGAGAGCAATAGCAATACAGTCATAGTAGGGGACTTTAATATCCCACTGACACCACTGGATAAATTCTCTAAACAAAAAAATCAGCTAAGAAACAGCAATCATAAATGACTCACTAGATCAGATGGAAATCAGATTTAATTGACATCTTCAGAATGTTTCACCACAAAGCTACAGAATATATATTCTTCTCCAGTGCACACAGGACATTTTCAAAAATAGATTACATATTAGGACACAAAGTCTCTTCAAATTCAAGAGGATAGAAATGATAAAAAGCACCTTCTCAGATTACAATGGCATAAACTAGAAATCAACTACAATAAAAACAATGGGAAAAAATCAAACATTTGGAGGCTAAATAGCATGCTATTAAGCAATGATTGGGTTACTAAAGAGATCAAAGAAGAAATTAAAAGCAAAACAATCTAAAATCTATGGGACACAATGAAAGCAGTCCTAAGAGGGAAGTTCATAGCTCTACAAGCCTACCTCAAAAAACAAGAGAATCTGGTAATAAAGTATATAACCTTGCAACTTAAAGAATTATAAAGAGAGCAACAAAAAAAACCCACAGTATCCAGAAGGAAGGAAATAATAAAGATCAGATGAGAAATAAATGACATAGATACCAAACAAACAAAAACAATACAAAAGACAAATGAAACCAAGAGCTGGTTCTTTGAAAGGACAAACAATATTGATGAACATCTCAACAGACTCACAAAGAAACAAAGAGAGAGGACCCAAACAAACAAAATCAGAAATGAAAGAGGTGAAGTAACAACTGACCCTATTGATATACAAAGGATTGTAAAAAATAGTACAAAAAACTCTACTAAAAAAAAAAAAAATAGGACAACCTCAACAAAATGGACATCTTCTTAGCAAAATGCCAGCTTCCCAAACTCAATCAGAAACAAACAAACAAACAAACAAACAATCTGAATAGGCCGATAACTCTGGTGAAATTGAAACAGTAATCAAAAACTTCCAGCAAACAAAAGCCCTGGACCAGATGCCTTCACAGGGGAGTTTTACCAAACATTCAAAAAGAACTAAAACCAATTCTCTCAGACTATCCAAAAATTCAAGAGGTAGGCATATTTCCAAGCTCTTTCTATGAAGACAGCATTACCCTAATACCAAAACCAGATAAAGACATCACAAAGAAACATAATTACAGGCCAATATTCCTGATGAACATAGATGCTAAAATCGTAACAAAATTCTAGCAAACTGGATCCAGCATTACATTAGAAAAATCATACACCTTGACCAAGTGGGATTTATTTCAGGGATGCAAGGATGGTACAATATCCACAAATCGATAAATGTGATACATCACATAAACAAATTGAGAGACAAAAAAAATCACATAATCATATAAATTGATACAGAAAAGGCATTGCCCAACACCCTTTTCAGAGAAAAATGCTCAGCAAAGTGGGAATAGAAGGATCATATCTCAACATAATAAAAGCCTTATATGATAAACCTACAGCCAAAATCATACTCAGTGGGTGAAAACTAAAACCATTTCCCTTAAGAAAAGGAACAAGACAGGGAAATCCACTTTCACCCTCCTGTTTGACATAGTACTAGAAGTGCTAGCCATAGCAATCAGACAAGAAGAAGAAATAAAAGGCATCCACATTGGAAAAGAAGAATTAAAATTGTCATTATTATGACAGATGATATGATACTGTACATAGAAAATTCTAAAGACTCTATAAAAATTATTAGACTTAATAAATGATTTTTGGCAATGTAGCAGTATAAAAAATTAACACCAAAAATTTATGGCATTTTTATACACCAATAGTGAACTTAAAGAAAGATAAATTTTTTAAAAATCTCATTTACCATTGCACAAAAAAAAATTTAAGACACCTAGGAATAAATTTAACTAAGGAGGTAAAAAACCTTTCCTCAGAAAACTACAGGACATTGAAAAAAAGAGATAGAGGAAGACATAAACAGATGTAAGAACATACCATGTTCATGGATTGGTAGAGTCAACATAATTAAAAGGTCCATACTACCCAAATCAATCTTTAGATTCAATGCACTCCCCATTAAAATACTAATGGCATATATCATAGACCTTAAAA